CAACCAACGACAACAAGAACAGCAGCAACATTTAGTGCCAATCACCATCAACAACGGGAGGGATTTGAAAGAGGTTACTTCATTCAATTATCTAGGAAGCATTGTCTCAACTACAAGCAGTCGGAACAGACGAGGATGTCAAATCGAGCGAGAATCGGGAAGGCGAGCGAGAAACACATCAACCTCATCAACCTGACACCAATCTGGAAATCTTCGTCACTCAGCCAGCATCAACAACCAGAAAATTCGGTTGGATTTTCAATACAAACGTCGAGTTTTCAGTTCTTCTATACGGAACTGATCAGAAAGTTGACGGGCGGGTCATAAAGAATATTTCCAACAGCCTGTTGCAGACCAGAGCTTTATCAACAACTAACTGTCTTCGCTGGATCTATGCTGAAGATCAGATGGCCGGGCCAGAAAGAATCACCAACGATTGGAAACTATGGGAACAAACAAAACAAGAAGGAATCGCCAACCAACAAATATGCAGGAGAAAATGGATTGAGATGGATTGGACACTGGCTAAAGAGGTCGCTGGGTGACATCGCGCGTGCGTCAGGCCATTGCTCGAGTGGAGTAGAACCCGAAAGGGAAGCGGTGAGTGGGACGTCAGTTCAAGGGTGACATGGAGGAGATGGTGTGAAGAGGAGGAGTTGAAAGAGTATAGACTAACATGGATGGATGCAGGTGAAAAGTACAGCAGTAGAAGAGAGAAGCAAGTGGAGACGTGGAGTTGATTTCATTTATTTATTCATTTATTCATTTATTTCAAGTGTTGATTATGAATTGATTGAAAACCAACACTGGAGTATACTGGAAGGCTGTATCGTCCGAGTTTTAGACTCATCATGACTTCACGCCCACTGCCATGGTTCGAACTTAGGAACTCCTGGTTGCAGGTCAAGCTCGTAGACGAGTCACCGGGATGTCTGAATCGATAGCCACTGCATGAATTCCAACTTCTGTCAACTTGTAGAATTAGAATAATGTGTTTAAACTTCATAAGTAAACCTCAGTCAAAAAAATCTGAACACAACCCTCCCCTCATGTAAGAAATGAGTTCTAGTGAGAATTGATGACTCGTGCGGTCTACTCAGTCGCCAGCGGTGACACTGTCTAGTGTGTTGTTTGCACTAAAATCCTGAATTGGTAGAAGTTAGAATTCTCAGGCTGGCCATGGCTGAATCGTTGTGAGCTTGACTTGTAGTCTAGAAGCTCCAGGGTTCTAACCATGGCGGTGGATAGTGTGTACTTCTGATGGGTCCCAGAGAAGAAGGACGAAACAGCTATCCAGTAGTAGTAGTTGAAAAATACATTAAAATATATTGCAAACATGATACGATACTGTATAGTTATATCTTATATGTTATATGAATGTCTCCCGATCACTACATAGATGATCGATAGAGAAATTGTACTATGCGTGATGTATCCATTCATGGTACTTTGAGATCCAGTGATGCTTCTGACACTATTCTCCAACCTACTCCTAACTCTAACCATAATTCTAACTCCTCATTCTAACTTTAACCCTAGACCTTAAACCTTATCCTTAAAGGCCAATAAAATAAGTAGAATGTTGTATCTATCCTCTCCAAGTTCAAAAACTCATTGGAATAATATTCCATACCATTCCGTGCGTGTCTGATCGCTTCTTGAAGGTCAAGCTTTTAAAGACCATAGTCTTGGCTATGATACTTTAATTTAATTGGTGGATGGTGACTAGCAGTGGAATCCAATCATGATGTGCATTTCGTCCTATTTGGGACTCGTTAGCTAGCTGGATGTACCTGCATTCCCTAGTGAGTCAGTGATGATGTTCCCATTGAGGCTCGAACCGAGTACGCATAGTTTCAAACGCCAAAGTGTTATCCACTGTGGCCACGAGGGCCACCTCTCGTTCCAAAAAGGGTGAAATGCACATTCTAACTGGATTTCACTGCTAGTCACCAGCCACCAATTCAATTCTAATTACATGCCGAGACATCGTCTTCGAAGCATCTGCACAAGAAGCCGACATGTCAGCCTGAGATCGAGGAGCACTTCGATCCAATTAGTCAGCGGGAAAATCTAAAATTCAATTAAATATGATACTTTAAATTCGCCTACAATTTTATTATAATAATGTTACTGTTATTTGATTGACTTTGATATTTTCCCGTCGATTGATTGGACTGAAGTGCTCGGTCTCAGGTGTTGACATGTCGGCTTCTTGTGCTCAGATGTTTTGACGATGTCTGGGCAATTCAGTCAGTATTTAATTGGTGGATGGTGACTAGCAGAGGAATCCAGTCAGGATGCGCATTTCGTCCTATTTGAGACTCGTCATCTAGCTCTCATGGCCCAAGTGGTCTATTGGATAACGCTTTGGCATTTGAAACTATGGGCACTGGGTTCAAGCCTCGGTGCGAACATCATCACTGACTCACTACTGTGGAACACAGGTGTACATCCAGCCAGCTGACTAGTTCCAATTAGGACGAAATGCACGTTATCTTTGATTCCAGTACTAGTCATCATCCAACAATTAAATACTGACCAAATGTTATTGTTGTTATTATGAATAGGTGAATTAAATCAGCGTGTTATAACAAGTTCATGCGCGCATATATATATGTGTAAAATACTTTATGAATATTATACCTCAATAATATTTGAAAAAGGAAAAAAACCAACCTTATAACACACACACACACCGATAGACAGGTAGACAACAGTGTTTTCTTTTTTACCTTTTTGTCAGATCACTTTTTCCATGATATGATCCTATACTAATAAAACAAAAATACAAAACACAAAAATACTACTTAATATAGTATTAAAAGTAGTAACAGTAGTGGTAGTGGTATACGTCTTTTTATTCCATTTACTTTTCTCTTTCAATGATGACTAATCATATTTTTGACACTAACTAGCCAACTAACTCTATAATCGTCAGTGTTATGAGATTGACTTTGTGTGCGCATTATCAGACTATTATATATACATATATATGATATACGCAAGCATGTATATGCCTCAGACGACAGTGGATACAGTGAGTAAATGTCAGACTTTCTATTTCGACGTGTTTTTCTATTCTATAATTATTTCTCTTTTCTTTCTAAATGTAAAAATTCATGGTTGTATGTTGAAAAAATATATATATTACGTATTGTAAGGTAAAAATCTTCACTCATTTAGACACTTAGATAGGCAAAAGAATTAAACGAAGAAATATTTCCTTTTCAATTAGATCCTTATCTCTGACTCTACATAGGGTTTCACCTGTACGTCTCTATTCTGTTCGGTTCTCTGCCAACGTTTTCATCGCCTGGTTCCACGTCTGACTACATGCTTTCCTTTTCTCCTCTTCACATAATCTCCACCATGTCACCCCATCCTCGTATTGACGACTAACTAACCCGCCATTTCCCATTCGGGTTCCATTCAAGCCATGGCCTGACGTGTGATGTCACTCACTTGATGGTTCGTTTTCTCAGAGTATGGCCAATCCACCTACCTCCATTTCTTCCTGCATGTTTTTTGCACAATCGGTTCCTGGTTGGTTGGTTCTCTCTCAGAGATCCCTCCCTGTTGGTGATCTTTTCAGGCCGGTCATCTAGTCTTAAAAAAAAATCAAAAAAAAAAAAAAGTGGCATTGAGCGAAGACAGCTGTTTGTAGTTTGTTCGAAGCGCCATTCATTACACGCTGGTCAAGTCTCTGATCCGTAGTATAGTAGCACTGACTTCACATTGGAGTTGAAAATCCTCATATTATTTTCATTTTCATGCTTAGTGCTGTTGACCTCCACACAGACTTGAGAGAAATGGGAGCTTATCTTGCTTTCCCGATCCTCGCTTTGATATCCTCGTCAGTTCCGTCCACCTGTAGTTGGAACGATGCTTCCCTGGTATGTAGGTAGGTAGGTAGTTAAAGGAGGTTGCTTCTTTTAGATTCCTCCCATTTATGCTGATCTTTGTCTGATGTTGTTGCTGTTGGCCAGGAATCCTCATCACCTCTGTTTTCTTTATGTTCACCTGAATTCCTATCTTCTCTGGATGCTTCTTCCATCGCCAACTTGTTGCTTTTCACTTGCATATCTTCCAGTTTGTGAGGAATCTGACGTATATATCATCGTCGAAGTCCAGATCCTCCAAGTTTGTCTTTGTGTGGGTTCATTTTATGCCTATTTCCTCGTTTCCCGTCACTGTTTGTCACATTATCCAGTCTACCACAATCAGGAAAATCATTGTAAATATTAGGCAGCCAGCCAGACATGTCTTACTCCCGTCTTCACTTCTTCGAAGGCTTCCGTGAGTTTCCCGTTGTGGATTACTTTACATGCAGCACTGCCGTACAACTGTTTGATGGGATGTATAAATGTTGGCGGCAACCCGTAGTAGCGAAGTACTTGCCAAATCACCGCTCAATCTACGCTGTCGATGGCCTTCTCAAAGTCAGTAAAGTTGAGATAGACAGGTGCTACTCTAATATGTGGATAACATTTTTAAGAATTAGTTTGTCGGGATTGTATTCACTTCCGGCTAGACCATGGACTGATGTAAAATTAGGAAACCATTGAAAACCAACAGGGGGAGAACTGGATAGCTGTTTCTGCAACCTAGTTTAGGACTCATCAGCTGTACGCAGCCACCGCCAGGGTTCAAACCCAGGACCTTTCACTTACAAGGTCAGCTAGCTGGTATACCAATTTAGCTACTTGGACTCGATTCAATGACTGCCAGCCCATGAATTCTAACTTCTACCAATTTGTGATTTTAGCAAGACAAACACCCGCCCCTCCCCCGCTCCAACTATCGTCGCAGGTATTTAACTCGAATCAAGCGGAATAGCAGGCTGAACTTATGTGAAGACACTCATTGGTACATCTGCTCTTCGTTGGCAGTTACTAGTGCTTAACATTTAACTTGGCCATAATGTGTATGTATGTATGTACTGTCATCTGTCTGCATTTTAATATTATTATTTTCTTCATTTTTCATCTTTTTCAAAGGCATTCCGCGTCGTCGACAACATTTTGTCCATTACGTGATTGCAGTCCTATGATACTACGTGAAGGCTGTTTAACTCCGATTGAATCGGAGGAGAATAGTACAAATAACAGTTTAAAGCATAGAACAACAACATCAACAACAACATCAACAACAACAGCATCTACTACTAACAATAATAATAATAACAATATCAGTAGTATAATGACTTACTCAGATAATTATGATAAATTACAAGAACCATTAACAACTAATACAATGTCTATAAGTATGCAATTCAAATTTAATCAATCTCTATCAATGTCATCCCCAGCAGGATCATCATCATCACCTTCAACAGCATCAGGAACAACAACAACAATGGAATTAATTTCTAATTCAACGTCAAAATCAAATTTTACCCATGCTAGACGTTCATCATTTAAACCAATTACTTCAGTAAAACAAAAACCTTCTACAACATTGATCAATAATAACAATCAAACACCATTGGTTATAAGTAGTAATACTACTATTACTACTACCAATAATAATAACAATAATGTTAATATTAATGGAAATATAAATAATCCTAAGCCATATATTCCTTCAACTGGTCAACAGACAAATACAATTAATAATAATAATAATAATACATCGACAGTAAATGAAACTACAACTACTAATGCTACTACTGCTACCATGACAACGACTCGAATATGTACTTTATGCTTACGTGAATGTCATAATAAGAATAATAGTAATAATGTCCATAATACTGGGAATCAGCTTGTGTATGATGGAGACAATAGTAATACTAATAACATTGTGATAAATGATTCTATATTAGTTTGTGAATCGATTCTTTCAGATTACGAAGATGATGACAATAATAATAATAACAGTTTAAATGGAGAAAAATCAATCTGTGGAGCTGTATTTCATACAAGCTGTTGCAAAATATGTAAGTTTGTGTTATGCTACTGCGTTGATTTTAGACTGTTATATAATTATTATTATTTATCATTGTTCCCTTGGGTTCCTAGTGGAACATAGAGCTTCAACTGCACGTCTCCACTTGCTTCTGTCTTCTTCTGCTGTACTTTTCATCTGAATCCATCTATGTTAGTCCATACTGTTTCAACTCCTCTCTTTTCACACGACCTCCTCCATGTCACCCTTGCACTGACGTCCCACTCGGCGCTTCTATTTCGGCCTAATTCCACTCGAGAAATGGCCTGACGCGTGCGCGATGTCACTCAACGGGCTCCTCAGCCGCAAGTGTCCAATTCATCTCCATTTTCTCCTACATCATTTTTGGTTGGCGATTGGTTTGTTCTTGTTTTGTTTTGTTTGTTCCCATAGTTTCCAATAGTTGGTGATTCTTTCCAGCCCGGGCATCTGATTGACCTTCAGTATAGATCCAGCGAAGACATTTGCTGGTTGATAAAGGTCTGCAATAGCCTGTTGGTTGGATATATTCTTTGTGACCCGCCCACCAAGTTTTTGATCCGTTCCGTATAGAAGAACTGACTGACTTGACGACTATTGACGTATTGAAAATCCGAATTTTGTTGTTGATGCTGAGTGATGAAAATTTTCAGATTAGTTTCAGGTTGATGAGTGAATGTGTTTCTCGCCTTCCCGATTCTCGCTCGATTTGACATCCTCGTCCGTTCCGACTGCTTATAGTTGAAACAATGCTCCCTAGATAAGTGAAGTGAATGAAGTAACCTCTTTCAAATCCCTCCCGCTGTTGATGGTGATTGGCGCTGGATGTTTCTGCTGTTGTTGTTGTTGGTTGGTTATTTTCATAACCTCCGCCTTGTCTGTGTTCACCTGGAGTCCTGTCTTCACTGGCTGTTTCTTCGACCAGTTTGTCGGTCGGTTTTCGCTTGTAAGTCTCCGATTTTGTGTGACATCAAAAATAAATCATCCACGCGCAAAATCCAGGTCTTCTAGGTTCTTCACGTCGGTCGGTCCAGGATATCTATGTCCCGTTTCTCGTTTCCCGCTGTCTGACGCATAATCCAGTCAGTCCACCACAATTAGGAATATCATCGTGGGTGATAATAAGCCAGCAACCTTGTCTGACTCCTGTGTTTACTCCAAACGCCTCTTTGAGTTTTCCGTTATGGATCACTTGACATGTGCTGTTATCGTACAGCTGTTGAATAAGTTTGATAAATATTTGGGGCACTGTACGCCGTAGTACTCCAGTAGTTTCCAAATTACTTCGAGATCAACGCTGTCGAAAGCCTTCTCGAAGTCTATAAAGTTGAGGTAGAGGTTTGATTGCCATTCTATGCTTTGTTCTATGATGATGCATAGAGTTGCAATTTGGTCAGAACATGATTTGCCTTTCGTGAATCCAGCATATTCTGGTTGGAGTTCTGTATCCAGTGCGTCGTTTATTCTATCCATGATGATGCGACTCAGAATTTTACTTGGCGTCGACAGGAGTATGATTCCTCGCCAGTTCTTGTAGAGTGAGGCGTAAGTCGCCCTTCTTTGGTACTTTCACGAGGTAACCTTTCCTCCAGTCAGTAGGCACCTTTCCCTCCTTCCAGACCTTTTGCAATAATGGAGTCAGTATGTCTGCTGTAGTCTCTGGGTCCGCTTTCAGTGCTTCAGGGGGTATTCCATCTGGTCCAGCTGCTTTTCCAGCTTTCAGAAGCTTGATTGCATTCAAGACAGGAGAAACATCAAAGATAAGAAGGACTTCGGGTGAACATAGTGAAGTGAGAAGTAGTTGAAGATTCTTGGCTAACACTACCAGCAGCAACTGCAACAACAACAGACAACAATCAGCCAGCGTAAATGGAAGAAATCTGAAAGAAGCAACTTCCTTAGCCTACCGACCTACCTACTTACATGGGAAACATCGTTTCAACCAATGGCGGAACTGATGAGGATATCACAGAAACGAGAATCGCGAATGCAAGGCAAGCAATCTTTCATTACTCTCAAGTCTGTGTGGAAGATCAACAGCACTCAGCATGAAAAATAAGATCAGGATTTTCAACTTGAATGTGAAGTCAGTGCTACTCTACACGGATCAGAGACTTGGCAAGCGCGTAACGAAGGGGACTTCGAACAAACTACAGACATTCTTCAACAGCTTTCTTCTCTCAATACCACTCAAGAGCAGATGGCCAATCGGAAAAGATCACCAACAGGGAGGGATCTCTGAGAGAGAACCAACTGTGCAACAAATTTGCAGGAAGAAATGGAGATGGATTGGCCATACTCTGAGAAAACGAACCATCAAGTGAGTGACATCACACGTCAGGTCATGGCTTGAGTGGAACCCGAATGGGAAATGGCGGGTTAGTTGGTCGTCAGTGTGAGGATGGGGTGACATGGAGGAGGTGATGTGAAGAGGAAATTACAGCATGTAGTCAGACGTGGAACCAGGCGATGAAAACGTTGGCGGTGAATCGTATGCAATGGAGACGTGTGGGGCTGAATTTCTATGTTCCTCAAGGAACTAAAGGAGACAATAATGATAATAATAATCATTGCTATATCAATAGTATCAATTTTGCAACGGTCATGAGAGTCAATGTTCGTTTACGAATAAATTTTGTGATTTAGGTTAGGCATAAATTAGGAGCAAGATTCAAACAGAGAGGGGCCTAGTTTCGTTATTTTTTTTTCTAAACACAATTTCAGACACGCTTCTTAGGTGTCTAAAATCAAATTGTTACTATTCAAGTATTGGTTTGTAGGGATTTGGTTGATTGGTTACAGGATTTCATCATGAGCTGACATTGGTTAGAGAAACATCGGAAAACCAGCCGACGAGTACTGGACAGATGTTTCGTCAGCCTAGTTTGGGACTCTGCATCAGTACGTACCCACCCACTCGGGTTCAAGCCCAGGATCTTCTGTTTACAAGGCCACCGAGATCGTAGACAATTGAGCCACTGGGACCTGATCCAATGGCCAACCCATGAATTCTAACTTCTGCCAATTCACCCTATATGGGGCAACCACTAGCTATTGTCTTCGGCGAGTATTTGTCCTCACACCCGACCTGCTGCACCCTGCTGGTCACGACTTCCCACTGGAATCCCAGGTAACTACCCACCTGAATAGGACCAGTCACCAGTGAGCATCTTGGTGCTGTCCTTTACTTTATACTTGAATTTCATTAAGGTCCTGGGCTCGAACCCGAGTGGGTGGGTATGTACTGATGAAGATTCCCAAACTAGACTGACGAAACAGCTGTCCAGTACTCTCCGGCTGGTTTTCCAATGTTTCTCTAACCAATGTCAGCTCATGATGAAATCCTGTAACTAAATTTTCACTAGTTTTGACACACTTTTGACTACAATTCTTGATGATGAGGACGATGATGTTGTTGCTTGTGTAGATGAAATCCTACACAGTTGTAATTAAATCACACGTCTATTCAATTCAAGGCATGTCTTTTTTTTCTCTTCTTGGCTTTCGTCTAAATTTTAACTTTAAATATTCTAATAAGGAAAGGAATTATTGTTTACATATTTTTTTTTCAAAATTTTGCGTTTATTGCTTTCATCTCATATTACATAAACAATGCCAATAAGCACAGTTAAATAGTAATAATGATGATAATAATAATAATAATAATCGTAATAAAAATGATGTAATAATATACACTTGATTGATTCAGTGCAGTGCAGTACAGTACAGTACAGTGCAGTGTCTAGCGAAAACATATTTGAAGAGTAAACTTCTCTGTCTGCTGCTGCTGTTACCCGACCCACCGCGCACACACACCCCTCCCTGCTGCCAGACCGACCGCCTACGCACTCCCATCAGCCATCTATCCGTCAAGTCGTCCACCTGTTCACATTTGTTTATTTGTTTATTTTACCAAACAGTAATAATAATTATATATATTACAAAATATCACACTGGAAAAATACAAAAACCCCATGAAAACTTATTTAACGGAATTTTAGATTTTCCTGTCGATTGATTGGACCGAAGTGCTTCTAATATAGATGCCTCGACGATGTCTGGTCATGTAACTTGAAGTCAATGTGTGGATGGTGACTAGCAGTGTTGGGATCCAGTCAGGATACGCATTTCGTCCGATTTTGGACTCGTCAACTGGCTGAATGTACTTGCATTTCCCGGTGAATTCATGATAGTGCTCTCACCAAGGCTAGAAGTCAGTGCCTATAGTTTCAGGCGCCGAAGCACTATCCACTAGACCACTTGGGTCACGAGAGGCACCTCTTGTGCAACGGGTGTCATATTAATTATTTAATTCAAGTTCAGATTTTTCCGTCGAAATGTGCATCCTGGATTCCATTGCCAGTCACCATCCATCAATTAACTTCTAATTACATGCCCAGGCATCGTCATCGAAGCATCTGCACAAGAAGCCAACATGTCAACCTGAGAGCGAGGAGCACTTCAGTCCAACCAATCGACGGGAAATTTAAAATTGAATTAAATAAATAATTGATATGACCCGTTGCACAAGTGCGTCAGTGGCACAGCGGTTAGTATGCTCGCCGACCATGCACATGGTCCGGGATTCGAACCCCGACCACAGACGCTCTCCTTTACCTCGCTAAGCCAGAAATAATGCTGGTAAAGAGAAAAGGTTGGGCATGAGACTAGCAACCCCATCCTCTAAAAATAAACATTGCTACAGAAACTTCAAGCCTTCAGCTTGAAGGTGCCCTACGTTCTACTGGGAACGTGAAGGTTGCACAAGAGGTGGCTCTCGTGGCCCAAGTAGTCTAGTGGATAACGCTTCGGCGTTTGAAGCTATGGGCATTGGGTTCGAGTCTCGGTTTTGAACATCATCACTCACTGGGGAATGCAGGTACACTCAGTTAGCTGATGAGTCCTAAGAAGGATGAAGTGCGCGTTATCCTGGATTCTACTGTTAGTCACCATCTACCAATTAACTTCTACTCACAAAAACTTATTATTGTTATTCACACTTTTAATAACAAG